CCGTACCGCTTTCTGTCGAATTCTAATGAACGGGGAAAAAATATGTCAACTTTTTGCAAGTGACCAGAGAGTTATTCTAAATTAAGACGAAAGCTGCTTCGCGCGACGTAAGTTTATATATATATATATATATATATATATATATATATATATATATATATATATATATATTCATATATAATATAATATATATATATATATATATATATATATATATATATATATATATATATATATACACATACACACATATACATGTATGAATGCGTGCATGTATGTAAAAATCAATTATTTGTCTTCGACATTGATAGTTGTTCAAAAAGGCACTAAGACTCTTCTTATTTTATGCTATGCTATGCTTATGCAATGTCTCAATTCGAAAAGAAAGAAAAGAAAGTTTATATTGTGTTTCCACATTAGCACCAAGAATATAAACAATAACATATATAAATGCATAAATGACATATCAGCATTAACACCACATCAATCAAAAACTTCCATAAATCATCTGCATACATACCAGCTCATTCGGCGAAACAATTCAGCACACATTTACAGCCAAAGCGTTAATTGCCAACGATCCGACTTGCAAAGTTTTCGCCAAAGTGTCTTAATATCACTTTGATCGACCCTGCTTCGCAAAGTGGCCGATATTACGACGGGAGGGAACACGCTCTCGACTTACACTTCCCCGCGGAGTTTCGGCAAAGTTCCCACTGTCGGTAATTAACAAGTGTTGTGTTCGCCCTCGCCATGAATTCGCGGCAGTCGCATGCAGACGGCGGCGGATTCGCGAACGCTGCGCTCTATCCTAAAAGAACGGTCTTGTGGTTGACGTTTCCTTGCTTGGTTATTTTGCGGATGGGTTGGGAAGTCGCGAAGAAATGGTGGCTTTAGAGAAAATGGTCTGTTGGATGGGAGGAAATAAATTCTTGGGCGACTGAAGGAGGTTTCGATAGGCACAGGTAATTTCTACAGGCATAATTTTAATATATTAAAATCTGACTTTACGGACACACACACACATAAATGTGTGCATGTATGTACATATACACGTGCTCATATATATATATATATATATATATATATATATATATATATATATATATATATATATACATAATACATACATATTTTATACATATAAAATATAATATATACACATATTTATTTACATATTACAAATATATATTTATCTATCTATATATTATTCATAACATATATGTTGTATATATTTATAATATACATGTATACATATACATTTATATATATATATATATATATATATATATATATATATATATATATATATATATATTATATATATATATATATATATATATATATATATATATATATATATATATATATACACATACACACATATACATGTATGAATGCGTGCATGTATGTAAAAATCAATTATTTGTCTTCGACATTGATAGTTGTTCAAAAAGGCACTAAGACTCTTCTTATTTTATGCTATGCTATGCTTATGCAATGTCTCAATTCGAAAAGAAAGATTATATTGCGTTTCCACATTAGCACCAAGAATATAAACAATAACATATATAAATGCATAAATGACATATCAGCATTAACACCACATCAATCAAAAACTTCCATAAATAATCTGCATACATACCAGCTCATTCGGCGAAACAATTCAGCACACATTTACAGCCAAAGCGTTAATTGCCAACGATCCGACTTGCAAAGTTTTCGCCAAAGTGTCTTAATATCACTTTGATCGACCCTGCTTCGCAAAGTGGCCGATATTACGACGGGAGGGAACACGCTC